GTACGATGACCCACGTTTGGGAGGGCTCGAGATGTTCTGGTCATGGATAGGCAGGGCGCCCGAGGTTGTCACGGTCCCACGAACATACATCAAGCTTGGTGTCACTGGCCACACTATAAATTCGACGGGGATGCATCGTCGACCGGCGACAACGAGCCGATATCTCGCTCAGCATCACTTCAACGCAAATAGCTACGTTGTTGATCACCAAACTCTCGTCTTCGGTTACTACACCTGTTGCCCTCTTTTGCTTCATCTTCAAGAAACTAGCCATGTCATCTTCTATTCAATACGGCGCCGACGGCCGACTATACTACCAGGCAAGCGATGGGCAATGGTATCCCTACACGGAACCATCCTACACGAATGCAAACCAAGTGTCGACGCAGCCATATCATCAAGCCCAGTATGGCGAGCAATGCCCAAGCTATCATCAGCATGAAGACAATGCAGCAGAAGCTGGGAGGTATTTAATATCGCTACCCCTGAGACATACAGATGCGGAACTTACTTACACTTTACCATAGCTTCCATGGAGACTATGACGACGACGACCACACTGCGGCTTCCTCATCTGCTCAAGGTGGAGCAAATGAAACTGCCAACTATTTGAAGAAGCAAGAGAAAGAACGAAGACATCGGGAGAAACTGCGGGAAGGTGGTCGATCAACTCGAACTAGGCACAAGAGCAACACCAAGAAAAAGATCGAGGAGACTCTGAAGCCACTCTATAAGAGCAAGTAGGCAACGGACTTCGGCATACCACGGAGGGCTTGCATCTTTGAAGTCTACACTTGAATATGGCGCATCTTGTTTCAGAATCCTCTCGTCTCTAAGTTTTTGGTTTTTCTTCTGTCTCTGTATAAACAGTTTCTATGATGGGATCACATCATCTTTGTTCATGTCTTTCCTGTACACTAGTGTTTCCTAAGTTTCGTATCATCCACCACCTCCATTTTACCTGCACAGCATAGCATCATTGTCTTCTCTTTGGAAATATGGTCAAGCCAACATGAAGGTTTAAACAGAGCCCTACTTTTGATTAGGACATAGGTATTTGGGATGTCACTGGTGGGTCCAGGCCGACACACGCCCCCTTTGACCCTGACCTGGAATCACCTTAGCTCACATTAAATCTCCGACATGACATCACGTCAAACGGCAAATGTCGATCAGGAAACTTGGGATTGAAACGCTGTAGGCTGATTGAACCCGCGTCATACTTTTTACATCTGGCTTAGCAGTTCTAGTGTTCTACAAGTCTAGTTTCTACATCTATAGTCTATACACTCGTGCCCTTTTTCGTCACCCTTCCTCGACTTAGAAAGACACTTATTCGACTCTCGCTCTCTTCTGGCCGTTGCCGTTGGTGTGGCCGTTGGTGCCGTTGGTCTCGCCCTGAGCAGCGAAGTACTCCAGGCTGCCCTTAGGGTCGGCCTTCATGCCCTTGCTGCCGTTCATCCATCCGGCGGGGCAGACCTCACCGTGCTCGTCGGTGAATTGGAAAGCCTCAACAAGGCGGATAGTCTCCTCGACGTTGCGGCCGACGGGCAGGTCGTTGACAGTGATCTGGCGGAGGATACCCTTGGGGTCGATGATGAAGAGGCCGCGAAGGGCGACGCCCTCCTCCTCGATCAGGACGCCATAGTCGCGCGAGATCTTGTGGGACTTGTCGGCGACGAGGGGCAGCTGGAGGTCGGAGCCGAGGCCGCCCTGCTTGCGGGGCTTCTCGGTCCAGGCCAGGTGGGAGAAGTGGGAGTCGGTCGATACGCCGAGAACGGTGGTGTTGATGGCGCTGAAACGGGGCAGCGCGTCGTTGTACTGGATGATCTCGGTCGGGCAGACGAAGGTGAAGTCAAGGGGGTAGAAGAGGAGGACGACCCTGGAGAAGATTATGAGTTTAGCTCTAGGTTGTCTCATTTTCGACGCGCCGTTTCGCTACGGCTAGTTCAACATGAATCCACATACCATTGTCCCAAGTAGTCAGACAGCTGGATGTCCTTGAACTCGCCGCCGGGGAAGACGGTGGTCGCCTTGAAGGCGGGAGCAGGGCGCTGAACGAAGGCAGTCGAAGACATCGTGACGGCAATAACGTGTATCTTTGCGTGATCGGAGGTAGAACGGAGAGGAAGAGAGCTAGCTATTGTGGATGAGATGATAACAGTGTCGGTAGCTTTGCGCCAGGAGGCGGAAATTTTCCTTATCTATGTTTCACTGATTTCAAGCTCCCGACTCAGATCCTGGACGTTGTGGATACCTTCTTTTGCCATTGGGTCCACAGATTGCTCCATGGTCTCATTTCGGCAATCTTCCATTTAACTGGTCATGGCGTGATGCGTTAAAGTGTGCTCAACGCGTCGCGTTCTGGTTTTTAAACTTTCGCGCGATAAGGTAAGGTAATTGGAATCAAAGATAAGATCCTCCGATCACCGAGATCATGATCGTGATGATTTTGAGCTTGTGTAACATTGACAGCTAATGGGCCTTTGGTTGCGTTATTGAAAACTATACCGCGTAGAGCCAACGAAACTTGAGTGGAACAGCACTCTAACAATAGAGATGGAGAAACCGCTTCCGTTGCGATTGACTGTCAATCTCATTTCCTCCATAGCCAACGATGGCTTCGAATCAGAAGCTCAGACAACTTCAGCGTCGACTTCGAACCCGAGTTGACAGTGCCTGCCTTCATTGACGCTGATTTCTGTGAGGTTATTGCATGGCAATTCTGGCTGAATCAGGGAGTAGGCTCATTTTTGTCGAGGTGAACCCAGACCTACAGGTCGGGAGTGCGTTACCCCAAATCTTGGAACCGAAAATGGAGCGTATCTCCAGAGGCCGAATTGAGCATATGGGCGCGCTCAGTCAGTACTTACCAAAGCTCAATGATTGCGTGTAGGCTCTATCATCCTGATTGCTTGAGACTGGAAAAGAATTGATGCCATAGCCTGTTGCTGATGTTTGCTGCTGCTACTGATGATGAAGCATCACGGGCGCTTGCCCGACCAATGACATTGCTCGGATCTTCCACCGCACAGCATGGCCATACCCAGCTCGAGGGCTGTGATCGCCTTGTCGAGTCTCTGCGAGAAATTCGGCAGCTGAACGCATTGATCTACGGTAACTCATCTGCGAACCCGTTCGCGCAGTGTGGGTTGACGAAATGTCGCTTCCCGTGGGCTGTGACACCAGTGGCTGTCTGGCTGTCTGCAAGGCATTCTGCTTAGCTTCAGAAAAGCAATCTGTGTCGAGCCGGGGCAGCAACGGAGCATTCCTCACAAAAACGCCCACTTTCTGCCAGCGAACACCCAAGGCCGAATCACCCTGGACCGAATCTCACTGAAAAGCCTTGTAGAGATGCGGAAAGTGATGTCTGCCGCGGATTGACAGCATGGTCGAAGGTCCAACCCCCCCCCCCCCCCAATGCCCATTGTGTCCATACCAATCTTTCCCAGTATGACAACGCAGAATCTCGTATTCTGCTGCGGTGTGGCAGCGTGGCTGATGCTACGCCAGTGTGCAAGACTGACTGACTTAGAATGCAGGTGTCCCAAAAGGAGGGGGGGCTTGCATCCCCATCCCATGCCGTAAGCATATGCAACGAAGTGTGGAGGGGGTCACTGGGCTCTCGCCAGGCGGTTATCCCATTCTCGGATTACCAGACCTTGATGGGTCCAGGAGGAAATGCCCGTGTCGTCATGGTCCAGCCTTGTGCTCCAAACCTCCATGCTTGAACTTCCACATGTTCTCATTAATTGTTGTTTAACGTTGTCTTTTTCGGTTTTTCGGGCCCCGTTGGTCGTAAACAATGGTCGAAGTCGACTGTCGAGGGATATTTCTGCAGGCTGGCGAGCTGCGGGCTTGCGGGCGTTTCGCGTAGGTATGTTCCAGTTTCGGTCAGCTGCCAACCTCATGAATTCCAACCCCGCCTTCTGTAAGATATAGGCCATTCGAGCATGTTTGAGCATAAAGGAACGCTATTTCCTTGCTCCATTGCGCAAACTCTTCATCGTAAGTTTGCCACCTCATTTTGTCGTTTGCGATTTGACTTTGTCGACTTCTTACGCTGCCGCATGCTCGCTCGACGGGGCTGTTCATCCCAGGCTGATTCTCAGGCTGACAATGGCCTAACCCCCAATGTTCCTCTCGCTCACTCTCGGGGGAGTCTTCCCAGCACCTGGGTTGGGGCTGTGTACGGCGTAGAATGTGCTATGATGCTGTCATCAGCATCTAGTTCTGAGGTGTCTTGGTGAAAGCAGCAAGCTTCACTGCAGTATCTCTAGGCGTACTCAGCCATGCCACAGCTCAGCCCCTTCTCAAAGGCACGGCCCTTTTCTTTCCTCTCTTCTGTTTCTCTATCAAGAGCTTCGGGTGCTCTTTGATGGCAAGCTTTCGGTGCCTAAGGACTGACACCTACTCAACAGCGGCGGCGGTAAGGTGACAGCGTTGCCCGCAAGCAAAGCTAGGCGTCACCTTTAGCCTCTGCGAACCAAGTGCGAACCATTCCTCCGTCCCCACTCCCAAGTCGCCGTTCCTCCTTTCCTCCATGGTAGCCACCGACGGCTGCTTGTTCATCATCGAAACTTTGAACGAGTCAGCTGAGCTTCCGGCGAGCCGATGTCCATTGGTGAAACGGCACCGCTGCTCAGGGGCCTCAGAGTCACTGCCCGGATTCCCAAAAACACCTGACAAGGGCCGCACGGATTCAGCGTAACGAAGAGTCCTAGCCCGGGTTGACGTCCAAAGAAGTGGATAATCAACCAGGGCTTAGCCAGTGGCTAGTGCGATACCTTTGACGATGTCACTGGGTGCGCCGCCGCCGCTGTTGCCTGGGGTCCTCAGTGACTCCCTCTCAGACCAAGTCTTTACTGTATAAAGTAAGACAGACGCCCTCTCTGTCAGAGTTGCCGTCGACTGAGTCTCGAAGGACGATAACTCAACAACTTTATCAACACTTTCCCCAAGCAACCGGACGCATCCAAACGCACCCAACCATCTTCAACATGAGCAGCCATAGATCTTCAGACTCCGGTCGGAAGTCATCGAGAAAGACCACGACGGCCCCGGCTTCATCGTCGTATGGTCAAGGCCAAGGATACGGAACTACGCAGTACAACGACGGGCCAACAACCGCACCGCAACAATACGCTTATCCGTCCTCGTCATCGACGTCGACGATGCAGCCCTCCTACACCGATAGCTTGAGTCAGCATTCATGGAACAGCTCAACAGGAAGCCCAGGGTAAATTCGTCCCAGCATTGACGTATCTCGGTGATTTGTCCTAACAAAAGAACAGTGGCATGCCGTACATTGATCCCAGGGCCACAGAGGTGGCTTCCAGTCGTCGCCAACGCGCTGAATACGCTCGTGATCATCCAGGCACCGCGCAGCCCCCTTCAGCGTATCGGATCGACCCCAGAGAGCAGATCGCCAACTTCGACCAGAGGTTCCAAGGTCAACCATCGGCAGCAACCCAGCCGTATCATTCTACATCCACATACGCCCTCAACCTTGACATCGACTTTCCTCCAAGCCAAAGCCAGAGTCAAAGCCAAAGCCAAAGTCAAAGTAGAAGGGACGACAGACGCGGGGGTTCATCATCATCTGGAAGCAAGCATCACTCCTCTTCGTCTCGGCGTCATAAATAGAGCCTGCTTTGTGCCAAAGCCTGCCTAGGTACGCATCATCGTTTAACACTTGTTCATATCTCTTCTGACTTCTCGTGTATCAGTCGTGCTTGAGACCGGCTACACTTGTAGCGGCTCATCAAGACTCGCCTCAGTTGGATATGTCGATGGCTTGCTGTGTTGACGATAGACCGTTTCCTTTGCCATAGACTTTGCACCTTCCAAGAACAGAGAGTGGTTCGCGAGTACCACTGAGAAGTAAAACAAAAAAGAGTAAAAATAAGAAGAAAGAAAAAAAGACGGTCCGGCGCAGAATGTATTTGTTCTTGGGTGGCATCATAGCATCTGAAGCCAAGGAGTGAGGAGAGGGGTAACAGAAGGAAATGCTTCGATAGGTTTGACTTACATTGATATTCGGGTTGTCAGGTCATATCCTTGCTCTGCTATCCATCGACATCGTTTGCTGGCGTGGTTCATAATTCAATAGACTTGTATAACATATCTGACTTTACAACACTGCAAAGTGTCCGGTGCATCGTCCATTTATGAGGCGGGTTAGGTCTTTATACTCTCATGACTCCATGGCATGTAGTCAAAGGAGTGACTCAAACAAGCGGCGCTTTTTGCGGCTGTCTGCCGTGTCGAAACCTAAAATTGTTATGCCGTGCTAGGCTGCCTCGAACATCACTGGTCGCCAGTAAGTGGCTCGTTCTGAGGTGTTTCGCCGATTGACTGTTCTGATCGAATCACAATCTGACTGGGTCCAGGCAGACAGCAAGGAGATCCGTAACTTATAAAGATAGCCGTCCGCCCTCTTCCAAATCATTTCTTTTTTTTGCCTCCCCTATCTCTTGAGAACTTTTCGCCCTCGCTCTTCGGTTCGACGTCGACCCTCCGAGTCGTCGTTGTCCATGACTCGGCGGCGGCATTGGGCTGCGAGTGCCACAAATAGTCTGAGGCTGCGCCCCGTGGCGGCAAACGGCTCCGGAGTCTCGGCCTTCACAGCGTCTCAGCTGCGCCCTATGACCGGCGCCGCCGGCTGTTGGTTTGTTGGTTGAACCTTGAATGCAGTGCACATTGTCCTATCGTCGCGGCGGTGATTGGTTCCTCTGTCCTGAACGGACCCCTGTCTGCAGCAAAGATCTCCGTTGCACCCCGGGGCAAAGCAATGCTGTGCTGAAAAGTCGCCTCATCAAGAGAACATCGCGCGCTATTTCTCCGGCATTCGTAGTCGGCCATGGCAATATCAACAAGTTTCCTTCTGGAGGCCTCAAGGTGGAAGGGAAGAGGTGAGGTTGAATTTGTCTCCGGTAAGGTCAAAGCGGCGCCGATTCTGGCGGGTCTCGCCGAAACTTAGACTTCTGGCTCCTGTATGCGGCAGGTGCCAAATGCATCGCACCACTTTGAAGGAACAAACGGTAGGAAGGGATAACAATGCACCAGACGGGTGGATAATTAGAAGCAGTGAAAGAACCAATGTTGGATTGCAGGGCATTGTGACAGAGAACCAGGAAATCGGTCTGCTTTTGTACCTGGCCATGAACACGGAAGCGTTGCCTCACACTGACATAGTGAGCATGCCACTTCCTTGGGGCGCAGTTTGTAGGCGAATGCGAAGTGGTTCATCTTCCAACACACGAAGGATTTGGGTCACTAAGGGTTAATTAACTGATGCCTAGTTACTTATCCGCAGCGGATCTTGTGGTTGTAGTTAGCCGCTCAAGGAATACGAGGGACCTAACCGACATTCGGCGTGAGTCAAAATGGCATCCAAACTCAAAGCTGGGTACGCCTATTTATCCGGCTACTTCAACATCTCTCCCCTACTGGCCCATTGAGAAAACTCGTCTTCAGCAATTAAAGCAGCCGATTCTCACCTGCGCCAGCGACTTGACTCTAAGTAAGACGGACGTTCCGCTAGGTCTCGGACTTGCACCCAATCATTAAGTACCTAGCACCGCTTACCCCCGTGAACCAAAGTTTCAAGTATCGCCGTTATACGACATACACAATCAATCCGAATCAGGAGAAACCATGTCCCGCAAGCCCATCGAAATCGACGGGCGGACCGGTGAAGGAGGTGGGCAATTGGTTCGCGTCGCCATAGCCCTCGCAGCAGTCACCACTCAGCCAGTACGCATCACGAACGTAAGAGGGAATCGTCCTTCTCGTGGCGGAGGTGGTAGTGGGAGTAGTAAGAAAGGCGAAAGCAGTGGCAGCAAAGGAGGCGGTGAGCACCCACGCGTTCACTTATACACAGCCCATCTCAACCAACCTAACACTGTAAACTAACAACAACGAACACAGGTCTCAAAGCCCAACACGTCACCGCAATTCGGTGGCTAGCAGAAGCAACAGACGCAGAGGTAGAAGGCCTCTCCGTAGGCAGCAGCACCCTAACCTTCATCCCCCGTCTCCCCCCCTCTGCTGCTCTGATCAACAAGTCCCGCAAGATTAAGATCGTGGCGGATACGAGCGCGGCGAGCACCCTCCTGATTCTCCAGGCCATCCTCCCATTCCTTCTCTTCGCAGGCGGAGACGAAGCCAGACCCATCGAGCTCGAGATCCAGGGTGGGACGAATGTAGACTTCTCGCTTTCGTACGAGTACCTAGACCAAGTTCTCCTCCCACGCCTAGAATCTTCATTCGTGGGCGTACTCGTCGAGCGAAAACTCGTTGCGCGCGGATGGAGCAAAGGACCTCAGAGCAGGGGCTCCATCGTGCTCACGATTCACCCTCTCAAGCCAGGCCAGCCGCTGCGCCAGCTATCTCCCATATCGAACCCATACGACGGTACCCCATCAGAACGTCGTAAGGTAGTACACTCCATAGACGTCACAATGATCGTCCCTTCCTACCAGCAGGCCATTCTCCAAGAAACACTAGCAACGGAAATCGCCGGAGCTTTTCCCCACGCAGAGCTGGTGTACAAGCTCATCGAGGACTCTGGCAGCGACAAGCGGACGTATACCCTCCTGGTAGCCAAGGACGCCTCTGGGATGTTACGTTGGGGCTGCGACGAGTCCGCGTCTCCGAAGCAAAGCCGGCGTAGACAACTTGGGCATGAGCACGACGATTTCGCGTGGGCCGTCAGCCGCGCGGTCGTTTGCCGTCTACTTGGTGAACTATCGATACCGGGCTCGACGGTGGACAAGTTCTTACAGGATCAGCTTATCATCTTCCAGGCTTTGGCGGAAGGGATAACGTCGTTCCCACGTGCTGCTGCGCCGAGCAGCGGCAGTGATGACGACGTGGAGGTTGCGAGTCAAGACATGGCGCAGTTGGATCTAGGGGAGAGGATGAGGAAGGATAGGACAGATAAGCCATTCGGATATGGCAGCTTGCATGCTCAGACGGCGAGATGGGTGGCGTCAGAGATCTTGCCTTCGGTGGAATGGTATAACAAAGGGACGATATGCAAAGGGGTTGGAACGAGCTTCAGCTAAGAAAACTGGATATATCGAACAACACAACCTGGAACCTGAACAGAAAGCTTCAAACACACACAAAATCAGTCTGCCTCCAACTCCGTGCCAATAATAAGCGCCATGTGAAAGATGATCCAAAACAATTTTTCATGTCCCAGCCCTCACTCTGCCTTGCTAGCAGGAGCAATCGTCCACTGTCCCTCCTTCAAACTAGCAGGGCCACATTTCCACGAGCATCCTCTCCTCAAGAACGGAACAGCCCCCTCGTTCTCCTCATCCAAATCCGTCCAGGGGCGAGCCTTGACGACGTGACCTTCTTGGGTTTGCCTGCTCTCGACAAGGCAAACCTGCCACCACTCCAGCCACTGCGTTGTGGGTGCCACAAAGGGCTTCTTACACGCGGAACAAGTAAGTCCGCCAACTTCACGCTGGTCGGCAGCACGCTCGAGTAGGGCTTGCAAGTGAGGCAGCGAATCAGGGATGTAGTCGGGCAGGTCGCCGAGGTCGGAGCTCTTGTAAGCACTTCGTAGTGCCAACTCCATCAGACTAGGAACGCGACTTCCCTTTGCACCCGGAACGCTTCTCCCAGCGGACTTTGAGTGGTAGGGTGCCGATGACGGTGGGGAGATGAGGGATGTGCTGTCTCCAGTGTCGTCCATCCGCTCCGTCTGCACAATCACTCCCTCCGGGTCAAGGCGGAACTCAGAGTGCGAGAAGCCCGAGCTATCGAGATAGTGGACTGGTGATCGCACGATAAACCTGCCTGCAACACCGTCAAAGCCGGGTCTCCATGCCTCGGTCAGTTCCGACCCCCCAGAAGCGTCGCTCTCAAGACTTTCCAAGTCAGCCAGCGCAGGCCGCTCAGCCGCCTGGAAGAAGTGGTTGCCCTGTAGAAGCAACTCTTCCAAGGCGGAGGGAGCTACCATGAGATCCAGAAGCTCGGCCGGGAGGTATCTAAGCAAATTCTGGGCGAGGTTCAGGGTGCGAAGACTTCGCATCTTGCCAATCGCAGGGGGCAGCTCCCGTAGTCGGCATCCACGAAGCGAAAGCACTGTCAGGTGCTCCAAGTCGAATATGGCCCCCGGAAGCCGCTGCAGAGGGTTGCGGTACAGATACAGCTGCAAAGCGGGATCCTTCTGCTCAAACGGTACTCCTTCGGCAACAATGGGAATACAGGAGAATTCGGACAGAGGGCGAATGGTAGCATCGGTAAGAGTCTTGAGTCCCATCATGCTGTTTACAGTCAGATCTACTGGGGTGCCTGCAGTTGGGTCGCGCACTCACGATAGATCAATGTACTCGGTGCCAGAATCCAAACATTGCTGTACCCTGTCCCGCGCTTCCAGTTCCTCGACCGAGATGACGTTGCGCCGCCGAGCCATTACCCGGTCGAGCTGAGGTAGCTTCGACTGCGTCGGCAGATCGGGCATCATCACGCTCTCGTCGCCATCTGTGCTGTCGCTGCCCATCCAGACACCACTGTCCAGGTCGCGCTTCAAGGTTCGCTTGCCCCTCAGCGCTGGCCGCGGCTCCCCGGTTGCAGAATCGGAAGAGGCAGGCTGCTGGTGGAACCAAGAGCCTACATACTTCTTC